GAAAGGCGAATGTCGAGCCCTCAAATGCTCGTCCCCCGAGAAGACCACGTTACACAATGTATACAAGACATTTTTAAATATTTGTCATGTCGTTCCTTATTTTAATATATATATATATATACGTTTAGGTCGCGCTCATGCAGGTCCAATCTCGAATAACGCACACGCCGACGCAGAGTAATCCTCGGCTGATCACTCAAAAACTGCGCTCGAGCCCGACAGGTTTCCCTCCCGAGTAACCTCCTCGGCTAAGGATGTACCTAGACCGAGCATTATGCACATACGCCGACGCCAAGCAATCCTCGGTCGATCACTCAAAAAGTGTGCTTGAGCCCGACAGGTTTCCCTTCTGAGTACCCTCCTCGGCTAAGGATGTACCTAGGCCGAGCATTACGCACATATGCTGATGCCAAGCAATACTCGGCCGATCACTCAAAAAGTGCGCTCGAGCCCGACAGGTTTCCCTCCCGAGTACCCTCCTCGGCTAAGGATGTACCTAGGCCGAGCACTACGCACGAACATGCGCCGACGCCGAGCAATCCTTGGCCGATCACTCAAAACGTCCATTCGAACCCGACAGGTTTCCCTCCCGAGTACCCTCATCGGCTAAGGATGTACCTAGGCCGAGCACTACGACACGCGCCGAGGCCGAGCACGCTTCGGCCGAACACTCTCAAGATGAGCACTCTCGCGTGCTCCAACACACTTCGCGCATCAAATCACGTGACCCAACTCTGAGGCCGAGCACGCTTCGGCCGAACACTCTCAACCCGAGCACTCTCGCGTGCTCCAACACTCTTCGCGCATCAAATCGCGTGACCCAACATTCTGGGGCCGACCACACTTAGGCCGAACACGCTCAAGCCCAGCACTCTCGCGGATTAAATACCGCGTATCAAATCGCGTGACCGCACTCCCGCCAGAAAGATTTCCTTCCTGAGTACCCTCCTTGGCTAAGGATGTACCTAGGCCGACCACTACGACAAGCGCCGAGGCCGAGCACGCTTCGGCTGAACACTCTCAAGACGAGCCCCCTCGCGTCCTCCAACACACTTCGCGCATCAAATCACATGATCCGACTCCGAGACCGAGCACGCTTCGGCCGAACACGCTCAAGTCGAGCACTCTCGCGGATCAAATACATCGCATATCAAATCGCATGATCCGACTCCGAGACCGAGCACGCTTCGGCCGAACACGCTCAAGTTGAGCACTCTTGCAGATCAAATACATCGCGTATCAAATCGCGTGACCCAACATTCCGGGGCTGACCACGCTTAGGCCGAACACGCTCAAGCTGAGCACTCTCGAGGATTAAATACACCGCGTATCAAATCGCGTGATCCGACTCCGAGGCCGAGCACGCTTCGGCCGAACACTCTCAAGACGAGCACTCTCGCGGATCATATACACTTCGCGTATCAAATTGCATGATCCGACTCCGAGGCCGAGCACGCTTCGGCCGAACACTCTCAAGCCGAGCACTCTCGCGTGCTCCAACACACTTCGCGCATCAAATCGCGTGACCCAACATTCCAGGGCCGACCACGCTTAGGCCAAACACGCTCAAGCCGAGCACTCTCGCGGATTAAATACACCGCGTATCAAATCGCGTGATCCGACTCCGAGGCCGAGCACGCTTCGGCCGAACACTCTCAAGCCGAGCACTCTCGCGGATCAAATACACTTCGCGTATCAAATCGCATGATCCGACTCCGAGGCCGAGCACGCTTCGGCCGAACACTCTCAAGCCGAGCACTCTCGCGGATCAAATACACTTCGCGTATCAAATCGCATGATCCGACTCCGAAGCCGAGCACGCTTCTGTCGAACACTCTCAAGAAGAGCACTCTCACGGATCAAATACACTTCGCGTATCAAATCGCATGATCCGACTCCGAGGCCGAGTGCGCTTCGGCCGAACACTCTCAAGCCGAGCACTCTCGCGTGCTCCAACACACTTCGCGCATCAAATCGCGTGACCCAACACTCCGGGGCTGACCACGCTTAGGCTGAACATGCTCAAGCCGAGCACTCTCGCGAATTAGATACACCGCGTATCGAATCGTGTGATCCGACTCCAAGGCCGAGCACGCTTCGGCTGAACACTCTCAAGCCGAGCACTCTCGCGGATCAAATACACTTCGCGTATCAAATCGCATGATCTGACTCCGAGGCCGAGCACGCTTCGGCCGAACACGCTCAAGCCGAGCACTCTCGCGGATCAAATACATCGCGTATCAAATCGCATGATCTGACTCCGAGGCTGAGCACGCTTCGGCCGAACACTCTCAAGACGAGCACTCTTGCGGATCAAATACACTTCCGCGTATCAAATCGCATGATCCGACTCCAAGGCCGAGCACACTTCGGCCGAACACTCTCAAGCTGAGCACTCGCACGTACTCTAGCATTTCGAGGCCGAGCACGCCTAGGCGGAGCACTCCTGAGCCGAACTTACACCAAGCATTAATCCGCGACAAACATGAATTTAACCCCCCTTCGGCCGAGCATACCATTCGGTTGTGTTTATATTACTAGGCGTTAATGAATATGACAAAAAATTGGAAAGTAAAATATTCCATTAAAGTATGGCCAATCAGTACGACTACTTACACAAAAAATCATCTTTGTCCACGACGCCAATGGCCGATCACAAAAGGCACTAATGGCCTGATTACAAGCAAGCGAAAAATCCTAACCCTAACCTACTACCACGAGAGTCAACCTCTTACACCGCGGCCGAGTCCTCCGGATTCCCATCGCCGACCACATCAATGATCGGCTCCTCCTCCCTTGCCAGTGGGGCCTCTTCCACCGTAGAAACCCCGACTAACATCAAAATTGAAGTCAGCCGGGACCTCACAAAAGTAGAAGGCCTGTCGCATAGCATGTTGGAAGCCGGCATCGTGCTGGTCGAGAATTTTCTCGGTGGCCTCGGCTTCGAACTTGGTAGCGGCCTCATTTAGCCGAGCAATCTCGGCAGCTGCAGCGGTGGCCTCGACTTTCATTTTCTGGACCGTCAACTTCAAGTCGTCGGCCTCTCTCCTATGGGCGTCGGCTGCCCTCTTCAGTTCTTCGGCCGACTCGGTGACCTTTGCATTGGCGGTCAATGCCTCCTTCAACGTCACCTCAGCCTCCTTAAGCCGCCCCTGCAACCTCTCCTCGGAGACAACCGACCTCATCATAACATGCTTAGCAATTAGGGAGGACGTTTGGCACAAGGAAATTCGAACCGGCCACGACCACCGAGGTTAGCAAAACCGACTACACTAGGAACATGCACACTACTACTAGCGGTCGGAAGCAACATCTGCCACTCCACGCCGAGAACCACAACCCTATACAATTAAAACGTCTTCGTCTTTCCCATCCTCGACGCTGCGGGGGTTGTATACCGTATGGTGGCTGACTAGGCCGAATACCCGAGTTCGTGGCCGACTAGGCCGAATACCCGAGTTCGTGGCCGACTAGGCCGAATACCCGAGTTCGTGGCCGACTAGGCCGAATACTCGAGTTCGTGGACGACCAGGTCGAATACCCGAGCCCACCGACCACTCACAATCTGAACGGAACGTGTCGGTGTGCTCGGCCAAGTCACGGATTTACTATTTTAACTAAAAAAACACTAAAATAATTACAAAAATTTATAAATCATTTTTACCGAAAGATAATTCAAATATAAAAATAATATACAAATTTAATGATTGAAGTATGTACAAATTAATTTATATTACTTTTATTATTTAATTCAATCTTTTATTTCAATGATTAACAACATCACTTAATTTTATTAATTACTATAATAAAGATGAACAAAAACTATGTCTGAAGCCTTTTCATAAAATATGACATTTATTACGCCGAACACTTAGTTGAGCGTTAGAGTGTCTTTGCAGGCACATCTCCCCTCACATCGGACTACCCGGATAGGAATGAGAAGACCGAGACCCAGGATCAGACCCACTACAACAATGATAAGTGAAGTGTGTATCCTAACACAGGAACAATTTTTATATAATTTAATTATTTAAATTTTATTTTATATTTATATAGACTAAAAATAAATAAATTTGGTGCCTGCCATGAACGATCTCTCATTATATATGTGCTCAAGACCGGATTATACCAATTTACATCGGTTTAAAAGCATAAGCAATTCAATAAGAGATTTAAATAAATTTTATTATCTCTTTTGATTTGATCCACCATATATCACGTAAAAGGATGGCTAATCTATAAATAAAAAATGAATTTATTTAAAAAGAGATAGACTCATGTAGTGTCTATATTTTTTTCTTATTCACTTTACCTTAATAATTGAACACGTAATCAAGTAACCACACGTGGCTATAAAATATTACTATCCCGATCTTAATTATTAGCAAAGAAATCATTGATATCAATAAACGTAATTAAAATAATAATTATTTTTTATTAATTTTATCATAAACAAAAATTTTATTTTAAAATACCATTTAATTACTAGAAACCTATCATATAAGGAATAAAGGAATGCATAAGATAGAGTTAACAATAAATTAAGAATATAAAAAAATTATATTTGAATAATTCTGAAAACGCTTAATTATTGTTATAATTGGGAAATTACAATTAAAACCGGATACTTGTTAACACTTAACACAAATTACTTAAAAATATGAATATTATTATTAATATTTTTTTAAGAAAGATAAAAAATTAATGGACTCCTATATATTTAACTGTGCATAATTTCTTTCAATTTCTTTTATCTAATTTGATTTTATTCATTATAATTATTTATAAATTAATATTATTATTTTAAAAATTTTATTAAAAAATAAAATAAATTTTATTAAATATAAATTATTTATCGTAAATATAAAATATAATTTATATATTTAAATATAATATTTATTTATATATAATTTATTATAAATTTTAATCATTCACATTGGCAACATTAAAATACTTGTTAAAACAAAGTATAATCTTGATTCGTTTCATTCTAAGACCGATCCACCAAAAAAGAGCCCTTTATGACAATTGATGTCACATCTCTATCCCCACCCTCATCATAACATTCTTTGTAGCTTGCAATTTTCACAGCTCCCACTCCCTTTTCCCTCTCTGCTTATTACTTTCAGTGACTCTGTTGCTGTAAATTGGAAAACCATAGCTTTCTTCAATTGCTGAATCATTGGGCTCTCTGCTTTCTGCATCCAAACCGGTCAACGTTTGCTTATTATGCCATATATAAAGTATTACAGTAAGTAAACCATAACTTATTTTTTTTCATCATTACTATTATCTCAAACCCCATTATTATTCTCAGTGTAAAGTACCTAATTATTCATACAACTTAGATTATATATATATATATGTGTGTAAATCCAGCTTTCATGGACACATACATTATGCAAAAGAAGAGAAAAGAAATGCACTTCTGATTTAGTCACCAGCACAAGGAGATGGGTTAGATTTTGTGGGTTTTTTAAATTTTACAAGATATTAAATGGATTTGCCTTTCTTTTTCTTTTTCCAAGTTTATTATTGTCTCTGGCTGGTAGGTCTGGTGGCAGTTTCTCTTTGGTTTATTTGATTTTCCTGACCATTAAATGTTACAGATTTTGACTTGTCTACATAGTTAATTTGTTCCAAGAAACTCGACTTGTGTTTTCCTAGAAAATGAAAATTTGAAGTTGATACTGAAGAAGTGAGATCAGTATTTTTACAAGGGAATCTATGGCAGCAGAATTGGGTTAGGATTTGCTTGATTAGAAAACTATTTGATATTATGACTGATGATTAATTGATTATTATATAAGATAATGAACCTTTTTTATCCAATGTGTTGTTGTTGGAAATTTTGAAAAGTGCTTTTATTCAGAACAGGAGTAGTTGGTGAGGTTTCAAGGTGGAGATGTTTTAGTGCTCATCTAAAGAATCATTCAAGGGTCCAGTTGAGTAAATACTAGGAAGATGGGATCTTTCATCGGTCATGTATTGCCAGGGACCTTATTTCTTCTTGTTGGGGCATGGCATATATGGGACTCTGTGGTGAGATATGTGTCAAATCCTAAGACATTCAGAGTTCAGGTTTGGAATCCTGTTCCAGGGTTTGATGGGAGGTTCAGGCTCTTGGAGCTCTATGTTATTTCAATTGGTGCTTTCATTGACTTGTGTGTGGAGCTTTTGTTAGCAACCCACCTCAGGTTTTTTGTAGGTGGAGTCTTGAACACCACTTACTTCAACAACTTTGAGCACTCAGGAATGCTTCTGATGTTTTTTATTTATGGTGTTGTTGCCCTCCTCTCAGAAAAGACAAGGTTAGTGGTTGCTGTTCTTATTATCATGTTTTCCTTGTCAAAAATCCGTCTCAAGTACCTATAAAGTGTAATATAAAAGAACTAAGTTGCAGTAATGCAATTTTGAAGTATTGGTATCCATCATTTAAGAATAAATATTTCCCATGCCTTACTCATGCCAGTACAATGCCCTTAATCAATACAAATCTTTTTATTTATTTATTATTATTTATTTAATTTTCTTTTCTTTCTAGTAAAATTGAATGCCAATTTGAATTTTGATTTTTTTTTTTTTAAGTTTCCCTGCTCTGACAATGGACAAGGTTAGTTTAGTTGTTGCTCTTCTTATTTTATTTCTATATTTCTTTCCATTTCTTGTTTAAAATCAATCACCAATCTCTTCAGCCTGTACAAAAAAGAATAAGTTGCACTAATTGTTGGTATCTGTCATTTAAGAATAAGTCTTGCTCAATACAAATCTTTTTTTTTTTCTTTCTATTTTCTTATTTTTCTAACACAGAAAAATTTGAATGCTGCTTGAATTTGTGTCCTCAGTAACAGTTAAAATTTTTCTATTAATTTATTCCCTCTGTTTTACTTTGTAAATTAAGCAAAAGATAAAGTAGGGGGTGGAGGATAACTAGGACCTGCAGATGTTGACGCTGGATCAGTGATAAGATTGCAGGACACATTAGCAATTTTTTTTCTTCTTTTGGTTACCATAGATGATTTTGTATCTGGCTTTTATCTAATCGGACACATTTTTGTATACATGAAACATACTGATTCTCCCAACATTTTCCTCAACCATAAGGTGGTAACTATAATAAATGGTCATTAAAAGCTTTAGTGTTTTTTACTAACAAATAGAAATTGGTTTTGAGTGTGTAGTTTTATTAAAGTAAATGAGTCTGATTGACTCGGTCAATAAATTAGTACGAGATATTTATATTAGTGAAAAACCGTAAGTCCCATAGTAAAAGCTTCAATAAATCCATGGTATGTGCTTTCTAACTATGCCGGTGAACAATGTTCCTTTACAGTGATACTGAGGACCTTTCATGCTTTCTCGTAGCTTTCTTTCTATTTCCTGTGCTTGTCCCAGTGAAGACGCTATATTTTCTAATCATTGTTCATCATAATCTGCATCTCCATTAACTTGTTCTTTATCTGTGTGTTCTCCTCTTATGATTGTCTATTATATACATTAGTTCTTAAGCCACCTAGAGTTCTGTAATGTAATGTAGCATGAGATTTAATGCTTCTGTTCTAATGATGCATGCTTTCATCCTCGTGGAAAAATGTGGTGCATGCAGCTTTCATAGAAAGAAAAATAGAATTAAAGTTTCTTGTTTACTTTAGAGCTTCTAGTTGGCTCCGCATAAAGATTCCACCCTCGTACTTTTTTTTTTCTCCTTATTTTTTTTGCTTTTGAAGATTTTAATGGACAATGAGTTCCATAATCATCTTTCTGAGTTATGTTTAGCAATGACTCTGGATTTCATAGGACTTCATTGAAGTTCTGTTTTATCTCTTGTATGACTTAAATGTTAACTGCCGTTATCTTCTTCTCTCACTCGATTGTCCTTAATTCAACTTATTCTACATGCTATTAGTTAATAAAATGTGGATGCTATGGAAAATCTGAAAGATATATGTGTGGTTAACAACTATGCTGTTTGCCAAAATTCGTGTTATTTAAACTCATGAACTGTTTATGCTTTTAATATCCATTAATCCTTGGTTTGAAACATTTAGAAAATTTAATATGTTCATGTTGCACGCGTGTGTATGGGTGTGCATTTTTGAAATTGGTTCTCAAATGCTAAATATGTTTTTAGTCCCTTAAATTTAAAGTAAATTTGTTTTTAGATCTACAAATTTAAAATTGGTCTTTTTAGTCCCTATAATTTCAAAAATTCTTGTTTTAATTCTTATATTCAGATTTAGTTAGGGAATATGTTAAATACTGTCGCATAAAATCTATCTATCAGTGTCTCTGTTAATAAAAACATCACATTAAATTCAGTAGATATTACATAACTGTCTCAATCTTTTATTTTTATATATGTTATTGGTGACTTGAGAGACTAAAACAAGATTTTTGAAAATTACATGGACCAGAAAACAAGTTTATCCTAATTTGAGGGACTAAAAACATATTTAAGTCGGTTATCAAATGTCTCATACTTCCCAGTTTGTTCAATTTCCACAGACCTATGTTTCCCTAAATCTTAAGTCTTAATTTATCTGTTAAAGTGCTGCATTTTTAACCTGTTGCTTCTTTTCCATTCTCATTTTCTTGATTCTCTTACTCAGATATCTTCCATTGCCGAACGGTGCTCTTTGTTTAATTGCTGCCACAGCATTCTGTGCAGAGTATCTTCTATTCTACTTTCATTCAACATCACACAAAGGCCTTGAGGGCTATTACCATGTCCTCCTTGCTATACTGATTGGTCTTTGCATTATATCTTCAATTGCTGGGGCCCTTTTGCCAACCAGCTTCCCAGTAGATTTATGCAATGGCATTGCTATAACGTTGCAAGGAATCTGGTTCTATCAAACCGCTTTTGTTCTTTTTGGCCCCATGCTACCATTTGGTTGTAGGCTCAGTGATAGTAATATCACATGTAATTCAAAAGAGAGCGAGGTTCGGGCTGAATTGCTTGCTAACTGTCAGCTCTTTGTAGCAGTCCTCTTTGTTCTTGTAGGAACTGTAGCATCCTATGGCTTTGCAGCTTCAAGATATGGGAACTGTGAAGAGCTTGCTACCAATTATGGTTGAATTAGATGAGGAATGAAATCGGTCGTTATTTTTGTTTCCTTTTCTTATTTTTTCTTTCTGGTGATGTGAAGCTGCGATGTATTGGCAGCCTTGTTTCTTGTAGAATGTCTGTATGTTGATGAAAAACAGTCCATACTGTGGTGAAATAATTTTTTAGGAATCAAATGTAAAATGAACAGGGAAAGTAATATTTTTTACTAGGTACACCGAAAAAATCTTACATTGATTAAAAGTCAATGTAAAGGTAGTTTCTAAACACTTTTATTGCTTAGGTCATTGAGGTACCTTCTAAGACAAAATCATGAAGGTCCATAAGAGACAAAATGAACAATACCTTAAATGCGGTGGGTCTACAAATGTAACTACCTTCATGTTAGAACAATTACTATGTAAATTTTTATGATGAAAAATGATGAAGATAAGCGGCTAAGTTCGATTAATCAATTCAAGTTTTCGATCACGTGGTAAATTCCTCTCAAATTTGAATTTTCCTCTTTTGTCTTTTTGTTCTTCAATTAATTTCAAATTTAATTCATGATTGTGGACTACATTTTTTATTAATTGAAGAACATAATCAATTCAAATTAATTTGAGAATACCAAATTGGATTTAATTCGAATTGAAGTAATGTGAAGCAGATTTGTCTTTGTATGATTTTCATAGAGTGCAATTGCGTTTTTCGTTCCTTAATTCGAATTGAATATTAAATAGTGAAATTCGGATTAATTCTTAATATTGTGATAATTAGAAACTTAAATTGGTGTTTTATTCAATTAGATTGTCAATTCGTGATTTTGTAGAATTAAATTGTAGTTTTACAATATATTTTAATTTTTGCACAAATTGTTTGTGAAAAATTCTCTTGTTAACTCTTGATAAAATTCAAGTTCTTATGAATTGTGTCTTTCGAGGATTTGACCTAGGATTTTTTATATTGCAAAATTTAGGCGAAACTAGTAATTTTTGATCGCATTTGACGATGCATGTCAAAACTTGAAGGAGAAGCTACAACAATCAAGTTCTTCCTTGAGGTTTCCATCATTTTCCCTAATCACAACTATTATCATGAATAATTCCATTTGTTGCCTATACTCCTCCACACTCAAATTTCTTTGTCGGAATCTTTGGATCTTGTTCATTAGCTCTCTCTCATATGTCTTCTCCTTAAGGCACTTTTTAGCTCATTCTAATATTGGATTGAAGACTCATGATGTACTCTTCTCTCTCTTTCAAGGGAAGTCTATCCAATACGTGGCATACCTTTGAAAGCTTAGGGTAGTCAAGTGAACTTTCTTCTCTTCACTCACGTTGTGGCAAGTGAAGATTTGTTCCATATTAATCTCCTAATCTAGATAATCTTTTATATTATCTTTACCATGGAAGGGAGAAGGTCCACTCTAAATTATCTATGAGTGTTATTCTTGTTTAGGCCTATGTTGCCTAGGGGGTCCTTGATAATAGTCATCATCATGATAACTATTATGAAACCCTTCACTTGAAATGATGTAGGTATGTGTATGTTGGATTTTGGGCTTTGAGGCTCCTTCTACATGTTTGCCTCAGAAGGATTGGAAGACCTTTCACTATCATGGTTTCCAGGTTTGGAGGGCCCAACATCATCATAGCATTTAGGCTTGCTAGTTTCACCCCCTAACACTAGCTTAGCCAACAACTCTCATATGGTTTCATTCTTTTTTTTTTTTTTTTTTTTTTTTTTTTCATTTTCCCCATCTTTTCTCCTAATATATTTTTTTAGTTTCCTAAGTTCTTCCTTAATACTCTTTCTACTACTATGGGAATTTTGAGCATCCACACTATTTTGATGGTAATAATGATCACTCATTTTTGTTCAAGAAAGTTTTTTCATAAAGATTTGAAAGTATTTCACAAAAATAGAATGATAAAATATTTTCACAAAGAAAAGGTCAAGTGTGTGCACACAAAACCCCTAGTAGGCAATAATATAGCCTTGTAAACGATTTGGATAAGGAAGAAATGCTCCTAAACAAGTATACTAATGAAAAAGCAAGTAAAGGAACATAATTAAAACATATACTAGTCATTTTACCCTAGGGTGATAGTCTAAGTGACACTTGGAGCCCCTTAGAACAATTAGTACTAAGCGAACTATGAAAGTAAGTAAGCTAGACGTGTCCTCGGTGGAAGCCTAGGTGACACTTGGAGCCCCTTAAGACACTTCCATAAGCACTAATGTTTAAGCTATTTCACTAAGAAAACCAAGGAGGGATGAGAGAACACAAAAGGCTTCCCAAGACACTCCTAAAAGTCAAATACAAGCTTAAGGAAACAAGGGAATGGAAAATAGATTAATCCACAATGAAACTAAATGAAATACAATCAAACAATTAGAAACAAATTTCAAGACAAATTTGGTGACTAATTTGGTTGTTATAATTCTTTAGGTGTTGTTTTTGGTGATAGCTATTTTTTAAGTTGAACCTTTATGGGATAGTTCTGCTTTGTGGTCTCTCTCATACCTTTGAATGTGAGAGAGTTAATTGGGGGATTCCAATATTATTTTTGAGTTGAATCTCCCATTCTCCATCATTAGGGTATTCAAATATAAGAGAGAAAGATACTTTTGATCATCATATTCTATAATATTAATTTTGGAGCCTAATCATTAGGTTATTCAAATATAAGAGGGAAAAATAGTTTTGATAAGTCAAAACCAATTTGACTAACTAATTCATAATATACTAAGTATCTTAGGAATAATTTAAAATACCTTCCTAATGTTCTCTCCTGGATAGGTTACACATGATATGTCACTAAATTGTTGTTATTGGTCTCTCTCTCTTGTCCTGTGTGTTGCACTAATATTACAAGTACTTCTTTTTTCATCAGTAATAATTTGGGGTTTCGGCTTCCCTACATGCAACACATATGCAACAAAAAGAGATTGGTACCAATCTCATTACCCAAAAATGAAAATTAGAAATTAAAATCCTTTTAATTTGGAAACCTAATTTTTTCAAAAAAAAAATTAAGAGAATAAATAATGTATTAGACGTAAAAATGAATGGTATATCAACACATAAAAACAATAATTTATAAGCTATTAATATTTTTTTTCAATCTGTCATTACAAGAAAAAATGCATACATTGTTGCACCAAAAACCGAATTTTTGAACATTTCAAAGATCATAGAAAAAAATAAAGAAAATAAAGACAAAACTAGTACATTTGCAAACATTAAAAAAAAATACAATTAAGCCTTATTTCAATGATGATAGATCTATAATGTTTCCATGTAGTATATAAACATAAAAAAAATTGAAAAAAAGCAATACCTACTTTCCTAAAGATGTTTAAATTAAAAATTGATGGTCCAGGTTTGAAGTAATGACAGGATACCCGTTTGTGAGCAAAGAGTTTTAATAAACTCAAAGATAGAGAGATAGTCGATGGGACTACTTTCATATGCTGCTAAGATAATGGAACCACAAGCTTAGCTAATTGATGATGAAATGGACATAATCAAATAGAATTGAAATATTTACATCAGACATTCAATTTAAAACGGTAATTCATATCTCTGTTCATAGTTGGGGATACGGGTAGTTGTGCTATGCATCATTCATAATCAGAGTGTTGTCCTATTAATTGTATTTATTTGGCCCCATAAATTTGAAGAACTTTTTTGGTATGTAGATTTTGTCCCCACGGATTAAAATAATTCCTGGATTTGATTGAAACTTTCGTGTTTTTTTACTTTATTATATTATATATATATATATATATATATATATATATTTATTTTAACATATATGCATGACCTATGAATAACTAAATTATTCCCTGAGCTGATGAATTGTCATTAGTCAACCTTATCTGTTTATCAAAATAATGATAACCAAAATGCTATTTTTTTTTCTTCTTAATAAAATAAGCAAGCAAAGACAAATAAAGGTCCCAATTTTTGTTTCAATTAATGAGAATTCCAAGCCAATTATCATGTTTAGGCTACATTTTTAAAAGCTGGACCCACACATCCACACATAACAAACACGTGATATGTATACGCTAAATAGCAGAACAATCGGCTAGTAGCAAATTTAGGTTTGGTTACGTTGTAAAATTTATTGACTTGAGCGTTTGTCTACATAATGCATTTAATTAGCGAACTCATATACTTATATCTAGATTGGAACGGCTTATAAATAATTTATTTATATTTATTTTATTTTATAAGTGTTTATAAGAGTGTTTAAATAAATTTATAAAATATTTTATGATAATTTATAAATTGTTATCCGATGACATTATGCCAAAAAATTAAGTCCTAAAAGAGTTAAGAGGAATGAGTTAAGCTTAAGGGAAGAATATTCAAACTTTTGTTGAGCGTTTGATTACTTTTAATAATTTATTTTCTCTTTTTTTAAAATATATTTTTTTAAATATTTTCTTAATTTTGACTTTATATTTTTAGGTCAAGTATTATGGAAATTTATTTTCTTATAATTTTTATTTTTAGGTGAGTAAATAGTATTTTAGGACAGGCGTAATTAGAAAAAGCTAATTGAACTTATTTAGCTTGAATGACCCATGAGCACCTCCTATTTGGTTTGATGTGGACATCCACTTGCTTGTGCAAGTGTTTTTGGACATTCAATATGGAGGAGACAAGGGTTTCTGGTAAGCTATTCAAGAAGTCAACATGTAACACAACCTTGTTTAGTCACACTTTAATACTTGCAAAGTGACAACCTCTCATTGGTTCTTCTACATCTAGGATGGTGACATGAGTCACACTTTTCTCTCTTTGCCATGTAACAAGCTATCATATGCTCTTCTAGATCTAAGATAGCGACTTATTTGGGAGGAAAATTTGAATTTTGAAATTCTAACTAGGGTTAATAGTTTTGAGTTCAAGATAGCGTAACCTATGTTACACTTAACCTAGGCTAGCTTAACTTATCACATAAACTACCAAACCCTATATATACTTGTAGCATGCATTGGCCGAATAACTGATGAGAATTTAAGAATAATATTCATATTTTGTTCTCTTTAAAAGTCTTAGTTCTCTCTCCTAGAGATGATTTTCCTTATGAACTTTATTAAGGGTTTCCTCCTAGTGGCAAGTTCTTCACCATTTTTGTCTATCTTTTCTAAGAAGTCACGTGCCTCGCCTTCTTTTCTCCTCCATAATTTTTGAATTCTTTGATGTTT